TCCCAAATCCCCCCTATAATGATGGTTGCGAGCGTGCAAACCCGATCCAAATCATATAATATTTGTTCGGGGTGCAAACCCGAACCAATCATATAATAATGTTTGCGGCGTGCAACCCGATCCCAATATACCAAATCAACACCAATCACAAAGGAATTCCGGCAAAGGGAACATAAGGAAACAATCATATCCCGAAAAGGGATCAACAACAAATAAAACACATCCCGGCAAGGGAACCACAGTAAGAGTAAAATATGTCCGGCAAGGGATCAGCTATAACCAAACTTGTACCAACAATTTAACTTCACAATGAACTTCAACTAAACAACAAGAGATAATAAGCACGTGTAACTACACGGCAACCACAACAATTGGACATGTAAACCTATTTGCACGAAGTCATAGAGGGCTCACAATCAGAAGTATCAAAACAATAAGAAGGCAACACTTCAATAAGGCAATAAGGGTCATGTTACAGTAGAATAGAGAAAGATGGACAACATCCATGTGCTAGATATAGAGGTAATTAAGCAATTAGGACACTCACTCAAACGGAATACTGCATATAATGAACATAAGGAACTAATAACCCTAGAGCAAATTTCCACAACTTAAGGTCCGAGCAACATCTCACTGCGCGAATGCACGACTACAATAGCATAGACAGACTCAATTCTAAGGTGGAAGTCCCTACACAAGTTAGCCAGTACTTACCCTCCAAAGCTCGACCAAACGTACTTAAAATGACTTCTCGGTGTTAAACCGGCGGGCTCAAATCTAACCAAAATTAACTTCAGAAGCAACAAATAAACATAGAAACTATTCCAGTCATAAAGTTCAATCATTTAACAAAAACCTCAAAAATTGGTTCAAAAGCCGCTGGGCCGCGCCTCTCGGAACTAAGAAATTTTACAAAAATCCGATACCCATTCAATATGAGATTCAACCATAACAAATTTATAAATTACAGATACCATTTGGCTCCAATCACTCGCACTTTCTCCATTGTAGCGAATTTTCCTTCCATCAAAGCAACATTTTACCTCACAACCCAAATAACAATTCAATATGATAAAAATGAGACAATCACTGAACAATATAACTCAATTCTGAGGTGAAGAAACAACATTTACACACATCGTTTGCTTGAATTAACCCACACAAGAATTCGCTCAAATAACGAGCTCCCACAAGGTCAAGATGATATAAAATGGTCTAACCTCGATTTGAGAATATATTTTCCTGTCAGGACTCTTTTGTTTGCACTACATCACGTTCGCTGAGTAAATCCTTCAGTCGATAGCTAATCTGCTCAATCAATCATTCCAGACACCATTAGTATAATGTGTACTAACTTTTGCAGACAATCTCAAATGACTAACGTTTATGTTCCGAAAACCTAGACACCCAGGGGCTATTATCTCTCTCAAAGTTAATTTTTTTCCTTTTTGAGACTTGAATTAGGACTGGAACTTACCCTACTAAAAGTAAAGGGAAGTATTTTTCTTTATTCTGACACATGGTATCACGACAAATCAAAGCAATTAAAGTTTATTTTGTCTTCTAGCTATTGTTCACGGCATTATTCATTTGTTCTTTTCTTCACTAGCGATCGAGCTTGTGACGAGGGTCCAATCGAGGACGAATTCCACTGTTCAGTCTAAGATCAGGCTTGGTCATTACATTGCGATTTGGTTTGATTTATTTTATTTTGTCTTTAACTCTATTTATCTGTTATTCTTAATTATTCGTATTGAATCAAACCATGTATTCCTTTTTTTTTACGAAAACTACATGACCTTTCATTCAATCAACCAAAAAAAACATGTCTACCTTTTAGGGTATTATTTTTATAAACTTTCCCAGTATACCTGGGGGTGTTGTATTAGCCAAAAATAAAGTTTGAATATACAACACAAGGGTAGAGATAACCCTTCAAAACAACGAGGAATAGGCGATTAAAACATAGATCGCCCCCTCAAAACCAAAAAATATACTAACTAACAAAGAAATTGGCCTTGTTGTATTTGTTTCTTGTACATGGAATCTGATGTATGTCAAGCAAATATNTTTCCAACTTTCGCCGAAACACCTCAAATTACCCTACGGACCTCCAAATCTGAATCCGGACGCGCGCCTAAGTCCAAAATCACCATACGAAGTTGTTGAGATCACCCACGACCCATTCCGAGTCCATTTACTCAAAAGTCTAATTCGGTCAAATTCTCTCCGTTTAAACTTCCAAAACTAGTTTCCTTCTTCCAATTTGACTATGAATCATCTGTTAACTGAATTCAACCATCCACGCAAGTCGATACACATATTATGAAGCTGATCGAGACCTCAAACTGCCAAATCGGGCGCAATTGCTCAAAACGACCAGTCGGGTCGTTACAGGCTGGATTTCAGCTAGCCAAGTTTTTACAAAGATGTTCAGACATCAATTGTATCGAACATCCTAGAAGACCACTTTACCTTCTGCAAAACACTTTTGAGCAAACTCGAGTTCTTCTTCTTCTTTACTCCTTCACTCTTCATCTCTATCTTTGAGCAAAACTCCATGAATGCTAGAATTAGAATGGGGTTTCTTCTTCCCAACATGTAGCTTTATATTATTATATAGGTCTCCGCGTATGAATGTTCTTTGTAAATATATTCTCTATCATTTTCAATTTATATGAGGTTATTTAATTTGATATCGAATTTTCTTAACTAAAAGAAAGATTATTAAAATTTATGATTTAAAACAAGTTATAGATATTTGTATGATTGTATATCATACAAAAGATAAAAGATAAAGTTTTAAAGTTAAATTATTTTCATATATATTGAAAAATCTCATTCTTTAGTGATATACTAAAAAGGAAGTGTCACATAAATTAAAAAAGAGTGGCAGATAATAATCTTTTAAATACTAAAAGTCCAAGTACAATGTGAGCTATTTTCTCTAAAACTTCAATGATTTAATTTGAATGCGGAAACAAGATTTTTGTAGGGAATATTTATGAAATTAAAAATTAGTGAACAGTCAATACCATCTAAAAGTAACCTCCTGTTTTTCAAAGCAAGTTATAATTGAATTATTTTGTTAGTAACAAAAAAATGACTGGAGGAAAAAATTTGAGAACTTATTAATTATAACCTTCTATGTAACTACACTTGTAGAGAACTTACTTCCTTTGTTCCATTTTCAAGGTGATATTTGACAAGATGTATACAAAAATATAAAGAATAATTCTTTTTTAATGTAGTTCTTTTTTAATATACATTAAAAAAGTATTTTTAAAATATTTAGTTTCTTACAAGCTTTGAAATTTCTATAAATATAAGAGTATGTCAGTATAAAAACTAATTTTTTTATAAATGATATTATTTTCTTAAATCAAATTAAAAACGACAAATGTGCCACTTAAAATGAAATAAAGATAAGCTATTACATCAATTAATAGTTCGTACTTCAAAATGTTCACATATATGTTTCACACGTGGACCAAACCTTCGTTTCCTCAAACCAAAGTAGAAACGAATAAAAAGACTCATTCTTCTACTATATCCAATCACTGCAACGTGGGCTAAAACCCCAGAAGCGTTTTTTTATCCGTAAAGAGCTATTTATTGACACAGTCAAGCAGGCCCCACAACAAATAAAACATTTTCCAGTTCGTTTCACCTGCTTGCTCACTTCCGCGTCCGTGTCCATGTATCCACGTCATCCTTTTTCTCGCTTCATACATAATCCAAATCTATATATACACTTCACAGATTTAACGTACACCCTAAAAACCTCAGCAACAAGCAGTCAACAACAGTACTTAATTAGCAGATACTGCAAATAACTAAAAAAAAACTCAACAATTTGACGCCTTGTTTAACGATGAATAATTCAAGTTCAAGCTCTCATGTTAGAGTGGCAGTTTCCGATGAAGAAGATATCAATATATTAGCGTTGAGGAAACCCAAGAAGCGAGCGGGAAGGAAGAAGTTCAAGGAAACTCGGCACCCAGTGTACAGGGGAGTGAGAAAAAGGAACAACGACAAGTGGGTTTGCGAACTGCGTGAGCCCAGCACACAGAAGCGAATATGGTTGGGAAGTTACCCAACTGCAGAAATGGCTGCGCGCGCTCATGACATAGCTGCATTGGCGCTTAGAGGGCCGCTGGCCACTCTGAATTTCGCGGACTCTGCTTGGCGGTTGCCAGTGCCGGTATCAAAGGATCCCAAGGACTTGCGCCATGCAGCTGCGAAAGCAGCAGAGCCGTTACTGGTCAGGAGAGGAAACTGATGTTAATTCTAGAGTGGCAGTCTAATACTGGCAATGGTAGTGAGGAAATGAAGGCGGCAGCAGAAGAAGATAATGCAGTGTATAATTGCATGCAGAATAACTGTAGATTGCTTGAAAAATGTTTTGTATAGCAACTACTCATGTAGTGAAGTGGGAATGGTAGGACGCAAGAATGGCTGGCAAACATGGAAGAAAGGAGTTAGTTTTCACCAAAATCCTTAGTTATTAGGAGTTGTTTCAGCTGG